CTCCTGCCCCCACTTCCCCTCCCCGCCCCAAACGGGTCAGGGCACGTGAGCGTCCCGATCCCATGAGTCAGCCGGGAAAGCCTCTGCCCTGCCTGGGTTTTTTGGGGTCTCTCCCCTTAGTCGTACCCCGAAAATCCCAGCTGCGCTGCAGCCCCGGGGGGGTCTCGCCTGTCTGGGCACGTTGGGAGAAATCCGGTTTGTTCTGTTCCAGCGTCACGCCAGGATGAAGCCCGACGGCACCTACAAGCAGGTATGGTGCTGGCGGCACCCTGAGGCCCCAAACTGGGGGTCATGGAGCTCCCTGCCCTGCCCTGGCACCCTACAGCCCCAAACTGGGGCACCCCATAGCTCCCTGCTCCGTCCTGTCCCGCTCCAACCCCAAAGTGGGGCACCCCATAGCCCCCTGCCCAGCACCCTACAACCCCAAAGTGGGGCACCCCATAGCCCCCTGCCCAGCACCCTACAACCCCAAAGTGGGGTGCCCTATAGCCCCCAACCTAGCGCCCTACAACCCCAAGCCGGGGTGCCCCATAGCACCCTGCACAGCACCCTACAACCCCAAACCGGGGTGCCCTGTGCCCCCCAGTTCCACCCAGACCCTGCACCCTGTGGGGACCCCTGGCAATATGGGGGGGGCACTTTTCCCTGGGGACCCCGGGCATCTTAGGGTGGGTTTTACCCCCAAACCAGCCCCCACCCTGGTTTGGGGGTCCCCCCCACCCCGGTTCTCTGCCCCCCATCACAGCTGGATGCACTGGAGGACCATGGGGCGCAGCCCACCCGCTTCCCACTGAAGGTAACTCCCCCAGTCTACGGGGGCCAGCTTTGGTGCTGGCTGGATCCGGTGCCATCCCTTGCCGGATACCACCGGTGTTGGGGGTGGCTTTAAAGCCCATTAATTAATTTATTCCTTAATTTTGGGGTGCCACTGCCCCCTCTCCATCCCAGTGCTCCCGTGGCGTGTTGCTATCCGCCGTCCTCACCCTCTTCATCCTCATCTTCCTTCTCTTCTTCAATCTTTGGCTGAGCTCAGCCCACTGCGGTGATGCCAGCAGTGATGCTGGCAGCGATGCCGGACCCTGCGGTGACGCGTGCCGGTAAGATGAGCTTATGGGGGGTGAGGCTCCCCCGAGACCCTCGGCACCCTGGTACTACAATCTCACTGGTGCCGGCGCTGCCAAATTTCTGCCATAGGATTGTGCTGGTGGAGAGCATCCCGGAGGGAATGAACTTCAGTGACGGTTCCGTGCCGAATCCGTCCACCTTCTCCACGTGGATGAAACTCTTGGGGACCGTCACCCACAGCCTGGACATCGCCTCCTTCTACTGGACCATGACTAACGAGGACACACAGACACACGAGCCCTCCGCCGCCCAGGTCCGCACCACCAGCATCTGGCATGCACACACAGCTCCAATTCCGGCGCTTGAACCCAGTGCCAGCTGCCATTTTCTTGCCTTCCCATAATTTTTAATCATTTCTGCTTTTTTTGGCCTCAAACCATGTGCTGATTCAGGGTGAACAAATCCTGGAGGAGCTTCTCCAGCTATCCCAGCACGGCGTCAGCGTCCGAATCGCTGTCAGCCACCCATCGGCAAAATCGCCCCTGAACGATCTCCAAGCGCTGGAGCAGAGCGGTGAGTGATGGAAAAACCCCAAAACTGTTTTTTTGGGGGGATTTTGAGTGGCAGACGCCCAACTCGTTGTCGCGCAGGTGCCGCGGTGCGCACTGTCGATATGCCGCGGCTCACTGGTGGCGTGCTGCACACCAAGTTTTGGCTCGTCGATGGCACCCACTTCTACATTGGGAGCGCCAACATGGACTGGAGGTCTTTGACCCAGGTGAGCAGCACGGCAGCACCATCATACCACTGGATGGTGCCAAACCTGTGCCGAACGGTGCCGGGGCTATCCCAAAACCAACCCCCCATCCCCATTCCCATCAAGGGATGCTCAATGCCATAAGATGGGACTTAGGGCAAGGGCATTGGAGAGGGATGGTGGTCCCGTCCAGTGATGTGACAGGGCCACCGTGCTGCTCGCCGCAGGTGAAGGAGCTCGGTGCCGCTGTCTACAACTGCAGCTGCTTGGCCAAAGATTTAGGCAAAATTTTTGAAGCTTATTGGGCTCTTGGCGTTCCCGGTGCTTCCATCCCGGTACCGTGGCCAGCAAATTATTCCACCACCTTTAACATGGAGACGCCATTGGAATTGAAGCTCAACGACACCGATGCCGCCGTCTACTTCTCAGTACGTCCCCAATCTACCGTGGTTGGTTTTCCTGGTGCCGAGGATCGGCTGTGCCAGTGCTTGATCCATCTCCAATGATTCTGGCAGAGCTCCCCACCGTCTTTCTGTGCCGCCGGTCGGACCCAGGATCTTGGTGCCCTCCTTAACGTCATTGATGCCGCTGAGGACTTTGTGGATATTGCGGTGATGAGCTACCTACCCACCACCGAATTCTCCCACCCCCAAAGGTTTGTATGGTCCTATTCCAACCCCGGCTTGCCGGCACCAGTGATGCCTAACCGCTTTCCCTCCCCAGATTTTGGCCAGCGATCGATAACCGGCTGCGGAAAGCCGTCTTCGAACGCCGGGTCAAGGTTCGGTTGTTGGCGGGTTGTTGGCGGCACAGCCAAGTGACCATGTTCCCCTTCCTCAAATCCCTTGCTGCCGTGGCCGATAATCGCACCCACTACAGCGTGGAGGTGGTGGGTATCGCAGCGTGACCGCGGCGTGCCGGCGGGCGATATTTCAGTGGGTGACAGTCTCCTCGCTCCCCGCAGCGGCTTTTCATGGTGCCGGCGAGTGCGGCGCAAGCCCAGATCCCCTACGCCCGGGTGAACCACAACAAGTACATGGTGACGGAGAAGGCGGCGTATGTTGGTGAGCGTGGCGCAAGTGGTGGTGCCGCCATGTGAGCCACTGCTGGCTGCTGGTGACAGTGGCTTGGTGGTGGTTTTTTGGGTCCCCCCCCAAATCTCCTTGCAGGGACATCCAACTGGTCCGGCGACTACTTTACGCGGACAGCGGGATCGGCGCTGGTGGTGAACCAGACAGTGAGCCAAACTGGTACCAGCACCGCCGCCGGCACTGCCGCCGGCACCAGCACCATCCGGGAGCAGCTGCAGGCGGTTTTTGAGCGGGATTGGAGCTCCCAGTACAGCGTCGACATCGGCGATGCTGAGCGGTGGGAGAGCCTCTGCAGCTCCCGTTAGGTGCCGGGGAATGGACCACCGGTGAACCGTGTGTTCTGGCTGTGCCGAATCTGGCTGCCCTGCTCCAATTTGGAGAAAAAAACCAGAAAAAACTAGTTTTTCTGGACTTTGCATTGCTGTTATTGAGGTGGGGGGTCCTCTGCGCCGCGGTGAAGGAGCGCGCTGGGCCTTTGCCAAATGCTGTGCCAGCACTAGGAGGGAAGCTGGGACGCCCCTCGAGTCTTGGCAGTGCCAAACCCATCCCAGCAAAGAGTCAGATGAAATGCGTGGCCGTCGGCAAACCATTTATTGTGGGATCATTGCAAGAACCAGTGCCGGTAGCATCCGGCACAGCACATCCCGGTGCATCCCTGGCTACGTTCTCCTCTACCGGCATGGAGCCAAATTTTGCCGGTTGGGGTGACCAAAGGTGAGGAAGAGAAAGGTCTTTGGTGAGCTCTTGGCTTCTAGGGTGTTTGCCAGGGTTGCCGCAGCGGCTCAGCGGTGCTGTGGGTGTTGCCGGCTCTGTGCCGGGAGGAGCATGCTGGGTGCAGTGGGGGGGTCCCAGCCCGGCCCCCGGAGCCTGTCCTCGGGGACAGGGATGGGACGTGGGGGCTTAGGGTCACGCCGCGTCACTGGAGCTCTCTGTGGAGGGGGGAGAAGCATGGGGAGGGGGTGAGCGGCACCCATGGGTGTGGTCTCCACCCCTTGGTGGGCACCTGGGGCACCCAGGCACCCCGAGCACCCATGACGTGGGGCACCAGGGGACATGGGGCACCAGGGACCCCAAGCATCCAGCAACCCGAAGCACCTGAGGGACACAAAGCAGCCAAGGGACCCCAAGCACCCAGTGTCCCAGAGCCCCCCATGCCCAGGAGCGCCCGGTCCCTGCATGAGCCCCCCACCCTGTGGTCATACCTTGGCGTGGGGTGAGGTGTACCGTCTTCCAGGCAGGTTCTGCTCCATGATGCCACCAAAGACCATGCCACCGTTGCGGTGGCTGCACTGCTTCCGTCCGCCGGAGGACCCCAGCACGATCAAGTTACCAGCAGTGGGCTCTGTCTTGGGACGCCGGTGGTGCTGGCGGTGTCGGGTGCTGTAGTGGGTGGGGATGGGGGCTTGGCAGACATCCTGCTGGCTCTTGTCACCGGTCTCCCCAGCCGGCTCAGCCAGGCTGAGCCCATCCATCTGGGCGATGGCCTTCTGGATGCTGCACCGTCCGGCAGGGATGAAGGCACCTTCCTCTATGCCAGGGAAGATCTCAACTGCGCCAGCATCCTTACGGGATGCCCTCAAGTCCTCTTGGCAGAGCTGGTAGTACTGGGTGGCCTCGAAGCTGGACTTCACCTGCTGCAAGGAGATGAAGGGATGCTTGAGGGCAGCGCTGGGCACGATCCTCTCGTGCGAGTCCCAGGTGAGCATCCTCTTGACCAGCTCCACCATCCCGTGCAGGTCACAGCGCTCAGCCAGCGCCTCATGGCTGGGATAAGACGCTGGGCGGATGTTCACTGCCGCCAACTGGTCCAGCGAGGAGAAGACATACTTCCTCCTCTCTGTTGGCTTTGCCATGTCCTCGCCTGGTGGTTTCAGCTGCCAGGAACCGGTGGGATCTGGCACCCGTCGGAAGAAGGACCATGTCTTGCGCGCGGCACAGAGCAACTCATCCCGTGGTAGCCCCAGGGTGGAGCAGATGTAGCGGACCTGGTCGTACTCATTGACACCAGGGTAGAGCGGCCAACCCAAGTGAAGCTCGGCCACCACGCAACCCAAAGACCAGATGTCCACCTTCTCGCAGAAGGGCAACCCCAACAAGATCTCTGGTGCCCGGTAGAAGCGGGATTGGATGTAGGGTTCCTTGACATGGCGGACCTCGGTGAAGATGCTGGCCGAGCCGAAGTCGATGAGCTTGATGCGGAAAGGATAGCGCACGTGGTCCACCAGCATGATGTTCTCTGGCTTGAGGTCGGCATGGATGATGGACAGCTCCTTCAGCTTGACCAACGCCGCCAGCACCTGCGCCGTGATGGTACGGATGTGCCGGACAGGCAATGGCAAGAAGTTGTTCTGCTTTTGGAAGTCAAAGAGGTTTTGCTCCAGCAGCTCGAAGACCAGGTAGGTACAGGCGCCATCAGCGAAGGAATCAAGGAAACGGACAACATGCGACTCCTCTGTGTCCACCTCCCGCAAGGCCTGCAGCAGCCTCAGCTCATTCTTTGCCACCTGGCCATGGTGGCCTTCATTCTTCAGGATCTTGATGGCCACCATCTCCCCTGTGCTCCTCCGCCAGCCCTGGGTCACCTCACCGAAGGTCCCCTTCCCCACTGTGGCCACCATGTTGTAGCGCTCGGCACCCACCACCAGTGTCCCCATGGTGGGTCGGCTCCTCACCAGGGGCTTGGGACCCCCCACTCAGCACCCAACAGGGGCTTGGCGCACCCAACCAGGCCTCAACCTGGCCCCCAACAGTGCTGCTGGTTCC